TTAAAACAGTGGTTTATACACAATTTAATTGTTAAAATACAGATTTTTATTTTGGAACCAGACAGCATGAATTTCATTTAGTGGATCACCTCATGTTCTGGAACTCAAAGGATTGATTTGATGCTACTTGTGAAAGGGGAAATCCATAAAGTCCTTCTGTGCAATTTATATTTTAAAGACGTCATCCTATTAAAAGTAACCTTTCTTTAGCAAATACAAAAAAAGACCTTTGATATTCCAGTATGATTCATTTTACTATTCTGAACAACCATCATTTTATTAAAAACCAGGTTTCAGGTATTGTAATAAGTTTCAGATTGATACATCCTGGTCCTTAACAAGACTGTCTATGGTGAGTCTTTACGTATTCATATGTTACATGCGAAAGGTGAGTCTGTTTCTGGGCCCTATTGAAGGAAATAGCAATTCCTAAGAGTAGTACAGGGAAATAAACATTCAAGGGAAACAAAACTAAGCCCCCCCCCCCCCCCCCCAACACGGCTGCTCAGAATTACTTTTGCTGGTCCTGGTAAATTAGCTAGTCACTTATGCCTCTTTATATTTATTCTCTTGTGTTAAGCATTATTCTCCCAAGTGTTTTTATCTACAGTACCTTCTCTGTGCACTTAGAATGCACTAAATAAGATCTCCAAGGTGCTCCTTTTCTCTTTGAAAGTGAGACCCCAGCCCCGGAGTGCTGGGGGCACCAAGGAATCCTGGGGCGGTGGGGCAGGGGCGGGAGAAGAGAGGGTTGTTGAGGGCAGAACTTTATAGGATACAGAAAGAAGCCCCAAATGCCCCTCACCAACTTCAGCCTAACCTTTTCTTGAAAGTGCACTTACATTTTAACTTTTAAAAAGCGTGAACTTAAGTGTATTATATTTTGCTTTTTAATATTCTGCATTAAATGAGAGGAAATCCGGCTTCTTTTAAGAAGGGCCTTCTGTGATTTTAAAGTGTTAAGGACCTGCTGGAGGACCAGGCATTTCCTGTCTCATTACAAAGCTGGATTCTCACACTGCCTGGGCGGGGTGGGGTCGGGGGAAAGCGGTACCGAGATTACAGTAGAAAGTGTCTCAGAAGGAAAAGAAGCCACAGTGAAACCAAATGTCCCAGAAGAAATCCCTTCAGTGTTGCCCAGTGGTTCCTTCTCTAAATTCACGCACTCGACCTGCCCCCACCCCGACCACCCCGAAAAGAGCCCGATCTTCGCGTTCACAGGGCCGCGGCTTCCTGGGTCGCAGATTCCCTGCCCTTGCATCTGTCAGGGAAGGCGCATCGCGGGATGCTTCGGGGCTGCCCTCTTTCAAGAGCTGAGCTGTAGAGAGCCCCCCTCCAACACACACACACACACACACACACACGCACACACACACGCACGCACACACACACACACACACACGCACACACACACACACACACGCACACGCACTCAGAGGCCTCACAGAAAAGCTGAAGGGAGACAAGGTGAATCGAACGGGGCAACGCTCACGCCTGGCAGCGGATAAACGCACCGCGACTTTGTGAAAAGCGTCCCTAAGCAACACGTCGTGATCGATTGGTTTCTGATTCCTCGGCGCGGTTCCAGTCCAGGTCTTGGAGGCTGCCCTCGAGGGGAATGTCCGGGAGTCGAGCTGGTATCTTTTTGGCTTGGGAATTTCCAGGGTGCAGAAAAAAATCCGTGAGCGCAGTCCTGCCCCCCTCCCGCCCGCCGTGCCCACGCAGCGCCTTTAAAGCCGAGTCGGGCCCTTCTCTGTACTTTAGAGAACAGTTCCGCAGCATCCCCGCCTCCACCCCACCCCCTTCTCTAGGGGGTGAACAGAAAGCGAGCCCTTCATAAAGGGGGCCAGGAGAGGGGCTGGCCTCCTCTTGCCACGAGGTCAGACGCCGAGTTCGCAGAGAAGGCAGCTCAACTGCTGCCGCTTATCATGTAACCTCAAAAGGAAACTGGTCGTCCTTCTCAGGCCCTCACGTACTTGGGTTATTCTCGCTGATTACAGCTGGAAACAATTGAGTTGCCTTTACGTATTTGTATGACTTGACTCTTCAAACACAAAGGTATATTTTTATTATTTGATATTTAGTATGAAAACGTATCTTAAATGCTAAGCTTTTTTTTTTTTTCCTTTTCCCATATTTAAGTCTTTTCTTTGGAGTCACTTTCTGATAGATGGGTAGTCATATTTGTTTTGGGGCAAAATATTGGGGGGAAATTTTTTTGGGGGGGAGAGAAATCTGGGATGTTTTTATAGTTTGGTAATGGCTATGAACTGTTTCTGTTTGCCTGAAAGGCTCAGTAAGGACTAGGATGCTGATGAAGCAGGTGGATGGGATGAGTGATGAGAGAAGCATAAATATAACGTAACTATCTTTAGTCAGTGAGAAGGAATAGTGGTACCACAAGACAGAAATCTCCCAAGTTTGAGTGTGGGCTTAGAGATATACTTTCTCACCAAGGGTAGGCATAAATTTATTTCTTTATGGAAAAATATACGTGAGT